GGGGGGAAGCAGAGAATAAAAACTATCTCTGCATTAATTTCAATATAACTAACTAATTTGGAATAATGATCTTTTACCACTCTTTGTGTTTGTTTAATATTTATATGTTTAGAGATGGTGATTTGAGTGAGAAACTCAAATTTGCTTTCATCAATAAATTCATGATGTGGAATTTCCAGTGATTATCTTGTCTTTTTTTTCTCTATATTTTTAATTGTTCATAACTTTCTAATAGTTTCTTTTGGATTTTATTTTTTTTTAACTTAATGATTCTTTAGCAGGTTCTGTTGTTGGTTTATTTTGTGTGTAAGTGAGGCTGGCTAGTTAAAAGTGCATACCATGGTGTTTCCATGTTGCTCAAAATTCAAATGTCTCAAGGTTAGGTGTATTGGAGGTGGTATTGACAGAACAAGATCTTTGCAGATGCTTGGTTTTTCTAATCCAACATCCATGTTTAAAGTTGAAGCAAAAATGACCCAATTTGAAATGTGTAAGTTTAAAATAAAAATGCAATCATTTTAAATATTATTTTGTTTTTATTTTAGAAACTTTGCTAATGGTTTTGATTGGAGAGAAAGAATGGCAGAGTGTTCAAATCCGGTGACGATGATGTTGAAACCCTTTCTTAATGTTATTTCTCATTATTTCTGACTCCGAGCTTATAATTGGTGTGATTAACTTGTAGGCGTGTTGTTTTATTATTCTAGATTTGGGTTATATAATTTGAGCTACTTTGTTTTGCAAGCATGGTTAAAGTTCACCCATTGAATTTATTTATTAAGAGGATGGTTTGACCTGAATTGACCCACAGGGAATCAGATTTTCTATTTAGGCTATTTAAATTATGAATGTATCCTCTGTCTTTTATCTTTTGTTTGTTTTGCTTCCTAACTTCGAAGTTCACCATTACTTAGTAGTTGCTATATACTCCTAATTTTTGTAGGATCAAAGTAATGTCAATGCAGTTGGTTGATTAGGAGGGGACAACCTTGGTGATTTACATTTGTAGTTAATGCTTTTTTGATGTTTAAAAGTCGTATTTTAGAGATTAATGAATCTTATGATTTGGATACTTTTCTTGGTTTTGTATGTTTGAAGTTGTTTATCAACTTGATACTGATAGAAGTTGAGGGTGGGTTAGTATGCAGGTTGTTTGGTGTTGGATATTAGATTTTTTAGCTACTTCATAGTTGCTGCTTCGCGCTTGGTTTTGTTCACAGTTACATTTTTATAAAGCTACTATCTAACATATTATTGGGCAAGGTTATATTCCTTGTATCTATATTACTATTTTAAAAATAACTTCTACGCATATAAAATTATGTCACGAAATTAAGCCGTGTAAACGATTAGGAGTTGAGCCGAAATGCTTAAACTTAATCGGA